GGGGGAGGATACCCCCGGACCCCCCTACAGGGTTCTGGTTTCCAGACCTTCAGCCCCACCTACTATTTTTCTCACCAGCCGCCACTGGTTGGCACTGATGTCAACTAAGCTCAACATCATGAAAAGTTTCTTCGTAGAGCGTTTTTCAGCCAAGAAGCAAAAAGTGTGAGAATGTAAGAGACAATTCATTCATTCATTCAGACGTGCACTGTACTGTGTAAATCCGTAATGACAAATAAAGAAAGTCGAAGTCACAATGAATGCACAAAAGCAGTGTTTAAAACAGCTGCATGAGAAAAACAGGAGCCACAAGTTATACAAGCAAACAATTAGAAATAAGTAAACTTTACACATAAATAAATATACCTACAAGAATCTCATAAAAGTAATAAAGTGTCAGTTGTTGGCAAAGCAACTCTCAAAATGTTCAGGTTTAACATTTGAAAGCAGAGACAGTGTTTGCTGATGTCAAATAAGTGATGAAAGTAGAACATCATGTGTAATTCTCTTTATCACTTCATTACGCAACTGTTTCGACCCAATACTTGTGAGTTCAGATAAACGTGGTTATTAAAGCAAATGTTTTCCACGTATATACAGTTTACGTAGTATTTCTAGAGTGGATTAAATGTTTCTTCTACTAATTGTCAGTTTGCATTGTACAGCCTGCTGCCTTCTTTTGCTTAAAATTCATGAAGCTTTTTTTTATAATACCGATAAGATGACAATATTTAGTTCTGCTTCTTTTTCATAAAACACGAACGTCTAAAGAAGGCAGACTAGTTGTGACTTTGTAGGAAACTGCACATACATCTGAGGTGTGTGTCATGACCCTGGGTCATATTATTGTATTTTGATGTGTGTCTGGGGCTTCAAGGTGGAGCTGTGGTCTGCGCCATTGCCTCGTAGCAAGAAAATTGAGGACACCCAGGATCTTTCTGCGTGGAGTTTGCGTGTTCTCCTCATGCAGCGTGGGTTATCTCTGGGTTCTCCTGCTTCCTCCCACACAGTCCAAAAACATCCATCCATCCATCCATCCATTATCCATACACCGCTTAATCCTCACTAGGGTCATGGGGGGCTGGAGTCTATCCGATCTGACTCAGGGTGAAGGCAGAGGACACCCTGGACAGGTCACCAGTCTATCACAGGGCTACACTTAGAGACAGACAACCAAGCACACTCACATTCACACCTACGGACNAGCCCTGTGATAGACTGGTGACCTGTCCAGGTGAACCTGCCTTCACCCTGAGTCAGCTGGGATAGACTCCAGCCCCCCATGACCCTAGTGAGGATTAAGTGGTGTATAGATAATGGATGGATGGATGTGTGTCTGCCTTTTACGATGGCAGAAGTTTTTTTCTCCTCGCCTGCTTGATTGTGTTTGGACAGCATCCGTTTCCTCAGAAGAGGTGGAGCTGTCCAATTGGCTGAGATGGAGGAAGATGGACCCGTCTGATTGGACCAGCCCAGGGAGCTGCTCCTTTTAAACAGAGGGAAACCTCCTTGTCTTTGCCCTCTTCTTCTCTCTCCCATGCCCAACAAAAGCCAGCCTGTTGTATGTAGAATGTGTCAGACCTTGTGTGTCATAGAGCAATATCACAGTATGGATGTTTTAATCTACAACACTGTGTGATTGAACACTTCAGTCAACAGAGAACCGACATTCATACAATCCACTGGAGTGAAAAGTACCATATTTTCCTCTGAAATGCAATAATGAGAACGCATACAATTTCTGGTCATTTGTACCTTGCGATATGTACAAAAGCTAGTTGCTATTATAGAGTTCCTTTAATTATTTTTCACTCCTGCTTTGCATGTAAACAGTGCTGTATAATATGCAAAGTGTCATCATGTGCTCGGTATTTTTGTATCCCACAGAAATAAGTGGTTATTATGTGTTTCATACATGATGCTGTGTGCTTTAATGTAAACGCAAACTTTCATATGTAACATCTTGTTTTTAATTTCATCGTGCAGCTGACAACAGTTGAAAATGTAACTGAACAGTGCTTTAAAGGTAAATAGATTGGCTAGCGGTACCAACCAGTAGGACAGATTATGATTCGATGTTGCAGACTTTGAAGAACCCTCCATCTGACCTACATAGAAGTAAGACAAAAATTACAGGAAACCAAAACTGATGTGGTCTGAATCTGTGGTCCTGTTTGGTTGTTGTTTGGTTCCTGTTTGCGATGCAATGGTTTTTCCATGTGTGTGTCTCATTTTGCATCGCTTTGAGTCAGTTCTAATGTCTCCTTAATCTTTTATTGTGTAACTGCATTCATTTCTACATCTGTTTGTGCTCATTTTGGGAAAAAATAATAATTCAATTATTCTCACTTTGTGGCAATTGTGAAACCACCTTAATACTTGTATTGGTCTGTGATGTCACACTTTATATAAGATTTCAAGTTTTGAATCTATGTTGTACAATTAGGCTACCTGTGATAAAACTGCATTAAACATTGATTTTGTCATGGGGTGAAATTGAGGAAAGTTTTCACAGTTTTCTGGAATTTGATGAAAAAACAATCAGAAACAAATCTGCTGATGGACTGATCACAAACAAACAAATGTTAGTGGCACATTTTCACAAACAGGACTTCAAACGTCTGCTGGCACAGCCGTGGCTACAGCTTCTACAGTGTAGAATCTACAGTGAGATATAATGAGGCCAATCCGTGGTTCTCACAGCTAAAACAAAAAAAAGTTGAGCAATTCAACAGCAAACAGGAAATTGAGAGAACACAGCAGGGCAAAAATAAATTAGCACTCCAGTTACTTTACTGCAGCTATCGCACAATTCTCTTGAACGCCACAAATATGCAGAAGTGTTTCCAAAGATACTGTTTACAGTCAAAATGCAGAAATGCTTGAAGCAGATATATCATACCAGAATCTTTAGTAGTTAAATTCCCTTCATCTTTCTCACATCTTATACACGAGTGATTACTATTCCAATAAATGCAGATATTAGTTAGTAATAGAGGCCATGAAGAGCAATGCAGCAGTGTTGTATGTGTTGTGCATGGTTGAAGTGATTTAAAAATCAGCTCTGAATGCACACACTCATGTAAAGTGTGT